AGAAAATATTTATTGATCAAAAGGGACGCAATTGAGTTGCTAAACTCACGATTTGATGGATAAGATGCGAACCTCCCGCAACGCGCATGCATTTCATAATAGCGTTTATCCTCAATCATACTTTGAGCTCCACATTAAAATCCAGACTAAACGCCAGGTAAGGAGCAAGTGGAAATTGTATATAGTCGCGAGACGTAATTAGTCGCTACTTCGTGCCATTTCATTCCAACAAGTTAAATTCCTTATATACATATATATTTTTATATATATACATATACACGATTCATTGAGTAATGCGGAACGCTATATATATATATATGTTATTTTCATCTCTTAACACTTGAAATAACATTTTTGCACTATAACAAGCGCCTCATTTTAGAACAATTACATCGTTTCTCTCTCTCTATTAATTATCTCTCGAATTACAAACCAAGAATTATTTCATTCCACTCATTGTTTTATCAAATATATGTGTGTCTGTACAATGCAAAAAGAAAAAGCAGGCGTTAATAAATTACTTTCCGCGAACATCTTATTAACAGAATTTTTATTTTCAAATTAAATTAAAGAGATCATTTATTGTGAAAACAAATTAGTTGTGAGTTGAGGAAGAAGAAGAAGAAGAAGAAAAAAAGTATTCGTGAATTATTTTACCAGAAAAAATATTTCTTGTATTTTTCATAGAAATAGATATTTCAAAATTTACTCACTATTTAAGTTGTCTAATGAAATCTGGTGTACAAATCGGATAAGATAAAGAAATTGGATCATTCTGAAAAGGTTAATTATAATTTAGACAGGTGAGAGTTTCACTTGTTTCATTATACCATAAATGAATATTATTCTCGACGAATTTATAATTTTCGATAAAATAATAATTTTTCTCGAGAAAAAAAAAATTATTCCAGAATAAGAAAATGTTTTTATTGATTAAAAAAAAATATATACTTGATAATAAATTTTTAAATACTACCTCGGGAGGTAGAAGATCCGAATGGGGAAATTTCTTGAAAATTTTATAAATTTTTCAGAAAATTCTTTCATTTCAGATGTATTTTAATAAAGAGACATTTTCTTAATGTATTCAAAGAGTTAACTAATTTTAGGTTGAGAATTTTTTCTGAAATATGGAGTTTAATTAAATTAAAAAGAGAAGTGATGATTAAAAATATATTTATTATAAGATTATTAGAATAACTAAAAGAGTGAAGTAAAATAATAATTCGAATCGGAAAATCAACTTGAAAGCAAATTGACTCCTAAAGTCCTAAGTTAATTCTCTTTTTATTCTCCACATGTTTTACAATTAAATTAAAAAGAAATATTTGCGAATATATTTTTAATAGTAAACTAAGAAAGTAATTTTTCAAAAATGATTCAATCATTTTTAAAAAAACATTCCCAAAATTATAATTTACCGTAATTTATTAATTTTATTTATTTTCTTCATTTCATTTGTTTATAAAAAATATGAATACAACTGAAAAAAATTGTCCTTTTCTTAAATTCGAATCATTTTAAGTAAAATTAATAAATTAAATTAAATAAATTAATAAATTAGTAAATTTATTTTATTTCATTAAATAAAAAAATTAATAAAGTAAAAGAAATAAAAATAAAAGAAGTAAAAATGTAAAATATTATTTTACATTTTCACTTCTTTTATTTTTATTTCTTTCATTTCTTTTCTTAAAAATCGAAAATTTATCAATTTTTGTAAAAAAATTATTGGAATGATTCGAATTTGAGAAAAGGACAATTTTTTGTATTCATTTGGTAATGGTTAGATAAGTGTACGAGATAATGTGACCAATGGCAAGTATTTTCAGTATTAAACACCTTCGTGAGAGAACTAAATGCTATTGGTCCTGTAATGTGGCACGTTACTGCACATAAACTTGCACTGATCGTAAATGTAAAGAGGTGTGCGTGCAAGTGCATAATCAGAGATATCCTATATCGAAATGTTATAAATGGAACATAAATATGAAATGAAGCTCACCCCAGCTCATAACAGTCGATCCCTAGAGGGTTATTCCTATGATCATCTCGTTAATGAAATCGTATTATCCACAAATAGATATTTTCTCGAATTATCATCTTCTTTTTTTCCTTTTACTAGTTTCTTCCACTCTCTCACATAAACACATTTATCTTTGAAAATTTATATTTCTCTGTTAAATTTACAATTTTTTTTTAATTACATCCAAAGAAGTAATTTATTGGAATTAAATGCTTCGAATTTTATTTTTCGTAATTTAAAAATATTCAAAATAAATTAAGCGACATTTGAATTGTATCGATTTTAATATTAAACAGTCTTCGTACTCGATAATTAATTTTAAAAAAGTAACTTTAAGAGACTGAAAAAGTAGTAAAAAAAAGTAGCTACCGAAGAATTAAATTTCAATCAATTTTTTCATAATTTCTAAATTAAATTACTTTCAAAAATAAAATAATTTTTTTCAAAATAAATATTTACACTGAGAAAAATATTTATTTGATTCAAATAACCGATTACTTCCAAAATACAATCATTTTTTGTTGAAATTTTTAAAATAAAATTATTTAAAACTTTAATCATTTTATTTAAAAAAAATTTAATATTATTAATTTTACAATTAAAATTTTCAAAGATTTCAATTTTTTAAATCTTTTGAAATTTAATTATTTCTAAAATGTCACACTATAGCGCTTCTAACATTCAATTATGTCAAATTTTAAATCAATTCTTATTAGAAACTTCTATACGAGAATTCAAGTATTTAAATATAGAAATAATTTTTTAAAAATTTAATTTTTATTGAATAATTGAATATTTCTTAAAATTGAATTCTTACGAAGAAAACTTTATCAAATATTTTTTAAATAATTCAATTCTTTCGAAGAATTTTAATAAAATTTTTAAGAATAATAATTGCAATTTTTGCAAAAAACAAAAAATAATAATTACAGTTTTCTAAGAAGTAATTTAAAATTGAATTAAAAATAATTGAAAATAAATTAATTAAATAGGTATTTTAATTTCTGTGAAAATTATTATTATTTATGAAAATAATAGCTAAAAGTAATTAAAAAAATTAAAATAAAATAAAATTTTTAAACAAAAAATACAATTGTTTCGTAGAGAAAAATTAAGTACGTATACGAAAAATTTAATTAAAATTGTACTGAAAATAATTTAGTTCTTTTAAAGAGTAGGTATATCTTAATTTTTAAAAATAAGTGAATTCTATCAGTAAATTTTGTTAAACTTTTCAGAAATAATTAAATTCTATTAAGAAATTTTATTTCAAATTGTATTGAAAATAATAGATTTTTTTCTAAAGAATTTTATAACTAACGAAAATTATTCAATTCTCGCGACGACTTTATTAACATTTTTTTTTTAAATAATTCATTTCTTTTCGGAAATTTTATTGAAATAGTAAATGTAGAAAATAACTAAATTTCGGAAAATTTTTGAAATTAATTAAATTTCTACAAATAATTTTATTAAAAAAATTTTGACAATAATTGAATTGTTAAGAATTTTATTAAAAGTTTTGAAAATAATTAATATCTTTCAAGAAATTTAATTAAAAATGTGGGATTGAAAATAATTATTAAATTCTTGTAAACAAATTACATCAAATTTTTTTTTAAATAATTGAATTCTTTCGAAGAATTTTAATAAAATTTTTAAAAATAATTACATCTTTTGAGGAATTCATTTAAAAATGTATTAAAATTGAATGTTTGCAACGAAGTTTAATAAAAAATTTTTTTTTAAATTGAATTACTTATACGAATTTTATTATTTATAAAAATAATTGAATTCTTGCAAAAAATTTAGGTATACAATTTTTTTGTAAGTAATTAATTTCTTGAGAAGAATTTTATTAAAACGCTTTTTAAATAATCAATTTTTTTCAAAAAATTTTATGAAAATTGTGTTTTAGATAATTGAATTTTAGTGAATATTTTATGTATATATAGAAATAATTGAAGGTTTGCAAAGAATTTTATAACATTTTTTTTTTAAATTATTGAATTCTTCTTTGAAATTTTTTATTAAAGCAATAGATATTGAAAATAATTGAATTTAGAAAACTTTTTCGAAAAAAATTGAATGGTTTAAAAGAATTTTATTAAAATTTCTTAAATTGTTTCTAAGAGTTGTATTAAACTTTTGAAGAATAATTTTTTTATTTCAATTATTAGCGAATTTAAAGTAGTGGAAATTATCAAATATAGAAAAAAGGAGCTTTTAGAGTCACAAATATAAAAAAAGTATCCAAATAGTAGAAAATCGTTAAAAAAAAATTGTAAATACTTAATTGTATTTACTACTTTTAGTGGATGAGTACGAAGTCTGTATTAAGTTTCTTGAATTCATTAATTATTTTCTTGCTCTCTGCTAATAAATAATTATTTTACGAAAGAAATTATTTAATAAATAATTATTTTATAAAAGAAATTATTTAATAAATAATTATTTTACGAAAGAAATTATTTACTAAATACTTATTTTATCAAAGAAATTATTTACTAAATAATTCTCTTACAGAATAAATTATTAAGTAAACTGAAAAATAATTCCAGACGTCATTTAATTTTTAAACATTCGTTACCAATTATAGAATCAAGTCCGATTGTATAAACTCCAATAGTAATTAGTAATTGTGCTCCAATTCTCTAAAAAAGGATTTCAAAATTTATTCCCATATTCGGAAAAACAAAAGTAAAAGAATTTAGGAAACAATTCGGATAGGAGAAGAATGAAAGAATTTGATATATTTAAAAATATATCAGTGAACGCATTGCAGACAAAAATTCTAGAACGCATGTCTAATTAAAATCAAAAGGCTTGCCAATCATAAAATAATAGACTCTTGTCTCATCCGATGAGGTAGTATCGTTTAAGAGTGAAGGGAAGATTTACCCCTCCCAATTTACTCGAAGCCTTCTACAGACATCAAACAACAAATCATAATATACATGTTCGCAAACACACGAATAGAAAAAAGGTGGTGGTTAAACTGTAACAAAGAATCGTTAGGATATATAAGCGTCATCGAAGATCATCTTCTCAGTTCAGTTGGACTCTTCAGTAATAAACACACAACACAAAAAATAATGGAACATCTAAAGGTGGGTAGTAAATCGTGAAACAACCCTTTTTTTTACATACTCGTCAAATGGTGTGATTAATTTTATTATTTATTGAGGGGTTTGAAATTATTTCTTCCACTTTCGCAGTGTTCACAGTGAAAAGCATAAAATGTGTTTCGGGAAATTTAATTGAGTGAAGCCCGAATAAAGTATTTTATTATTTTGGAGTGGAAAAATTTACCCTCGATTAAAAAAATTGGTAAAAGCAAAATTAAAAAAAACATAAGCAATAACTGTCATTTTAATAAAATAATGATATCAAAAAATTAAATAATAATATTAGTAATTGAATAATAATATTAATAATTAAATAATAATATTAATAATTAAATAATAATATTAATAATGAATAAATAATGTGGACTTACATCTAGAGTCGTAAATAAATAAAGAAATAACATAAATAATCGCAGAAATTAATAATAAATAAATAATACAAATAATAGTGAAATAGTTATTTAAATTTATAAATGAGCTTACAGAAGTATTAAAAAAATTAAAATACAATAAATAATAAAAGCAAAAATATCTAACACCTACTTTTATTTATTTAAATAAATTTTCTTGACTAGAATCACAAAAAAAATTATCACCAAATTTTTAAATTTCAATTTAACTAAAATAAAAAAATGTCTAAAAATTTTTAATGAACTATTTCTTAACTAAACTAATAAATAAAAAAATATCTTAGAATTTTTAATTAACAATTTCTTCACTGAAGTAATAAATAAAAAAAAGTCTCGAAATTTTGAACTAATTTTTTGACCCTATGTAATAAAGAAAAAAATTGTCCGTGCATTTTTATTTAACAATTTCTTCACTGAAATAATAAATAAAAAAATGTTTTAAAATTTTTAACTTAATTTTTTGACTAGTGTAAAAAAGAAAAAAAAATTGTCTCCGTATTTTTATTTAACAATTTCTTATCTGAAATAATAAATAAAAAAATGTCTCAGAATTTTTAATGAAAAAAATTTTTGACTCGATAGAATAATAAAGAAAAAATTGTTACAGAATCTTCATTTAACAATTTCTTAACTAAAATAATAAATAAAAAAATGTCTCAGAATTTTTAATGAAAAAATTCTTGACTTGGTAGAATAATAAAGAAAAAATTGTTACAGAATCTTTATTTAAAAATTTCTTAACTAAAATAATATATAAAAAAGAATATCTTCAACTGTTAGTCTAACAATTTTTTTTGACTAGAGCAATAAAGAAAAAAATTGTCTCAGAATTTTTAATTTAACAATTTCTTAACTGGAATAAAAAAAATGTCTAAGAATTTTTAACTAACAATTTCTCGACTAAAATAATAAATGAATAAAAATGTGTCAGAATTTTTAACTAACAATTTCTCAACTAAAATAATAAATGAATAAAAATATGTCAGAAATTATTATTATTAACTAACAATTTTTTAATTTAGAGTTAATAAGAAATATTAACTCCTTATAAAAAATAAGGAACAAAAACTTATCCTCAGACACATAAAATCTTATAATTTCATTCTCGATAATTATTATCAAAAAAATTTAGAGAGTAATATAAGAAAAACGGAATAAAATAAAAGATAGAATAGTATAAAATTTTTCTATAAGTCAACGAATGAAAAAGATTACATCCAATTAAAATTTAAAGTTCTATAAAATTTTTAAAAATCCACCTTTCATGAATTAAATTAAGAAAAAAAAATCCCCTGATATCGAATTTTTTTAAAGAAAGAAACTAATGAAAATGGAATTCATAAAAAAGTATAGTTCATTTATGAACTCGAACTAAGTAAGAAATTAAGTAAAACAAAAAATGTCAATTAAAGAAAAATGATTGAATTATTAATAAAGAAAACGTCAACTGAGAGATATATTCAATTGTAAATTAATAAAAGTGACAAAGATTCACTTTTTTCACGTAATTATTAAAGAGAATTTTCATTATGAAGATTCTTATATAACATTATGCATAAAAAAATTCAAAATTTCTCGAGTTAAAAAAAATATTGAAAAGGGTAGAAATTTATGTGAAATTCTTATCGTGGATATAAACAGGAATTAATATCACAGCGTGAATTTAAAAAAAGAAGGGGTTAGGGCTCTGAATGTCATACAGTAGATGGAAGGTAGCTTTGGTCAGCCAATCGGTTGGAAGTGATGTATTTGGCACACAAATTGATTAAAAGGGGTTTCCAAGTTGGCTTAGCAAAAGCATCAGAACATCGTCCATTTACGATTTATGCATTCATCCTCGAGTGTCACAAAATATTATCCCAACTTTAACTTGTTGAATTTACCAAAGACGCTTTCAATCTCCCAAAAAGCTGGTGGCATTTTATTTCTTTTTTTTCACTTTCTGATTATTTTAAAATTCTATAAATTCAAGTTTCTGTCGTTTTATTTTCATTTTTTGTATTTTTTGTATTAAGTTATTTAAATCTATTTAATTGTTATTTAATTTACTTATTTTTCAGAATTTTTTACTCCATTATTTTTTTACACTTTTTATTTTTAATTTACTTACTTAGTTTTTACTTAGTTTCTGTCGTTTTATTTCGATTTTCTGTATTCTTTTATTAATTTATTTATTTTTCTACTTACTTATTTTTCCGTATTTTTTATTCCATTTATTTTAATAAACGTAATAGTTAATAATAACAATATTTTTTTAAGTTCAAATTTTCCAACAATTTCTTATCTAAAATAATAAAAAAGAAAAAAATATTTCAGAATTTTTAACTAAAAATTTCTTAATTAAAATAAATAAAATGACTCAGAATTGTTAACGAAAAATTTCTTAACTAAAATAATGAATAAAAAAATGTTTCAAATTTTTAAATTAAAATTTTATACACTGAAAAAAAAATTATTTGATTCAATTAAATATTTAATTGATAATAGTCAATTAATCGGTTATTTGAATTATCAATTAAATATTTAATTGAATCAAATAATTTTTTTTCAGTGTAGATATCTAAAATAATAATTAGAAGAATATCTTAAACTTTGAATTAATAAATTGTTTGTAAAGTAATAAAGAAAAATTGTCCCAGGATTTTTATTTAATAATTTCTTAACTAAAATAATAAATTAAAATAATTATTTATTATGCAACAAATAGATAAATAAATGAACACAAATAACAATAATGTACTAAGGGAGTATAATAAATGTAATAAACAAATAATAAGAAACGTAATAATTAATAATAACTTAATAACAATATTTTTTTAAGTTTAAACTTTTTAATAATTCCTTATCTAAAATAATATATAAAAAAATATCTCATAATTTTTAACTAACAATTTCTTAACAAAAATATTAAATAAAAAAAATGTTTCAAACTTTTTAACTAACAATTTCTTAACAAAAATATTAAATAAAAAAAATGTTTCAAACTTTTTAATTAACAATTTCTTCTTGTCTAAAATAATAAATAAGAGAATGTCGCAAGAATTAATAAATTCTTTGTAGAATAATAATAAATAAAGAAAAAAATTGTTCAGGAGTTTTATTTAATAATTTCTTAACAAAAATAATAAATTAGAATAATTATTTATTATGCAATAAATAGATAAATAAATGTAAATAAACAACAATAATATACTAAAGAAGTATAATAAATGTAATAAACAAATAATAATCGTAATAATTAATAATAACAATATTTTCTTATAAGTTGAAAGTTTTCAACAATTTCTTAACTAAAATAATAATTAAAAAAAAAAAATATCTCAGAATTTTTAACTAAAAATTCTTCTAAAAAGAAGAAGCAATTTTTAGTAAATTAAAATTAGTAAAAATTTTAATTTACTAAAAATTGCTTCTTCTTCCACAAATTTCAATATTTTTTTATGGTTCTTGTTTCATTGTGTTTCTTACACTCTCTTTTACATTTAAGGGCATGGGTTTTATGAATTTTTAATTATATCAAATGTTACAGTGTTTTAAATTATGTTTTGTGTTGATACAGTCAAATTCAGGTGCGGGTCCCCTTAATATAAGATTTAAAAAGTCCAAAATGTCGGAGCCAATATGGCGACCAAGTTTTAAAATTAATTTTGTTATACACGCGCACCTAATTTTTTTAGTTCTCCAATTTCGAAAATCAAAAACAAAAAGAAAATAAATAATTCAAAAAAATTTCCAGTTCGCGTGCCTGGTTTTGGCGCTTTTTATCAGTGAAAGAGTGTCGGGGGGACTTCTTCCAGACGGTGGAACTGGAGGTTATCAATATAATCGACCAAATATTGGATTTGGTGGCTTTAATAATGGAGTATTTGGAGGAAGACCCTCGTCAGCATATGGTGTTCCTGGTTTTGGAATAAATAATGGTTACAATGGACAACTTGGAAATGGTTATAATGGAAGACTTGGTGGTTATTATGGAACGCCTGGTTACAATGGTGGTTATCAAGGAAATGGTGCCTACCAAGGTTATCCCGGTGATGGTAGATATAATCAAGGATATGATAACGGCGACAACGGCAGAGTAAGTTATTTAATCAAAAATTTATTTTTTAAATCTACACTGAAAAAAAAATTTATTTGATTCAAATAACCAATTAATTGACTATTTTATCAATTAAATATTTAATTTAATCAAATAATTATTATTACATTATATAATAATATTTATTAAATATTAAATGATATTTGCTTCAAATTCTGAATTTATTGGTTCAAATACCATTTAATTGACTTTTCTCTATTACTATATGTTTAAAAAGAACTAAATTTTTCTAAACTCCAAAAAGTTTCTTTTCAATTAAAATTCTCAGTTTTTTGTTCACTGTCGATTAAATAGAGAACTTGGGATTTAAAAATATTAATAATAATAATAATAACAACCAGATTCTCGACACCTCGAATTCTTTTAATTACTTTTTTCCCCTTTGAATTCAAAGGGAGAAAAGAAATAACGTCAAGCAGAGTTGAGTGAGTTTCACACTTTGGAGTTTCAACGAAAGAATTAATTCATCGTTCTTCTGTGATTACAGTGTGACGGTACCCGTGGGGTGGGTTTCGACTAATTGCACATTTAGTGTAGATTAAGAAACACTCGTATCCAGATGACACCATCTCTCACTTTTAAATCGTCCTCCCAAAAAAAAATCTTATTTAAAAAAATCTTATTTAAAAAATCTTATTTAAAAAATCTTATTTAAAAAATCTTATTTAAAAAATCTTATTTAAAAAACTCTTATTTTAGAGAAAAATCTTGTTTTGTAAAAAGCTTCATTTGAAAAAAAATTATTTTTTAAGATAGCTTAGTTTAAAAAAAAAATCTGTTTAGAAAAGCGTAGTTTAAATTTTTACCTATTTTAAAAAATCCTAAGAATTTTATTTTTTTTAAAAGAGCTGAGTTTAAAAAATCTTAAAGAGAAATCATACTTTTTTCTAATCGTTCTCCATATGCGTGTTTTATTTAAACAAATGGGGCCGACCCACTTAAATTGAAAGCCTATAACATTTTTCCCCTAGTGCGCAATTTTGCCCGACACACGTCCGCATATATATATATATATATATATATATATATATATATATATATATATATATATATATATATTAGAAAGAAATTAACGCTAAAGAGAATTTTCGAATGCAACTCTTGTATGGCTTTTCATTTACATGACTCGGTGTATAGTCAAAGCACAGAATTCCTCACGAGCCTCGATTTGGCTGCAACTGCACGAGCGAAACTCGAGAATGCGCTTTGCGGTGGTTGAACCCTAACCTCAAAGAGCATTCCCTTTGAGTTTGGAAAAAAAAGAAAAAGAGGGGAAAAAATACTTTGAAATCAAAGTTTTAAATTCCATGTTCACGCAAAGCGCGCAAGCAGCCTTTCCACTTCATAATAATGAATGTGTGAATGAAAGTCAACTGGAGTCACGTGTGGAAATTTTTAAATCTTAACTCAATCGAACTTCATTTTTTTTTTTATGTTTAAAAAAAAATATTTTTTTCTTTTCTTATGTCGTTATTTTACTTTTTTTGATTTTTAAAAATTTTTGTTTGTTTACACAGATTTTCTATTTCGATGGGTCGTGATTGTAAATTGTGAGCCGCAGAAACAAACCCCAATTTTTTTTGTGAAATTTATTTTCTCTAATAAGAATTAATTATAATTTCTTTTAATCAAAATAATAATTTAAAGAATTTTTTACAATCTTTACATCACGAAATTATCATTTCTAAAAATTTTTATTTTTCATAATTATTACTTACATTTATGTTTATTTTATCAAATTATTAATTTTGATAAATATTATTATACCAATTTAATTTTCTCGACTTTTTCCTAATTTTCATTAAAAAATATTTACTTCTTACTTATCTTGCTAATAAATTGAATTTCTGCAACGAATTTTATTATTCATGAAAAGAATTTATTGTATTCTTACGAAGATTTTTACAAAAAAATTTTTAAATAATTGAATTCTGTTTAGAAATTTTATGAAAATAGCAAATATTGCGAAAACCATTGAATTGCGAAAAGTTTTTAAAAATAATTTTAAATTTTACAAAGAATTCTATTAAAATGTTTGAGAACAATTGAATGTCTGTATGTCATTTTATTAAATTTTTTTAAAAAAATAATTGAATTTCCAAAAAGAATTCTATTATATTTATAAATATAATTGAATTCTTGCAAAAGATTTTATAAGAATTTTTTAAAATAATTGTATTTTCAAAAAGAAATAAATTACTTTTAAAAAGAATTGAATTTTTGTGACGAATATTGTTATTTATGAAAATAATTGAATTTTGCAAAGAATTTTATTATAATGCCTCAAAATAATTGAATTTATGAGAATAATTCAATAATTACAAAGAATTGTATTAAAATTTTCAAAAATAATTGAATTTCTGAGAGGAATTTTATTATTTATGAAAATAATTGAATTTTTGCTTAGAATTTTATAAAATTTTTTTTTTTTAGAAATTGAATATCTATGAAAAATGTTATTATTATTGAAAGTAATTGAATTATTGTGAAGAATTGTATAACAATTTTGTTAAATAATTGATTTTTTGAAATTTTTTTGAAAATGGAATTTAATTAATTGAGAATACTAAATTAATTAAATTCCTCTGGAAATTTTTATTATTTATGAAAATAATTATTGAATTTTGGATGAGTTTCATAAAATTTTTTTTAAATAATTGAATTCTTTGCGAAATTTTATGAAAATGCTAGATATTGAAAATAAATTAATTTGGCATATTTTTTGAAAATAATTGAATCGTTTTAAAGAATTTGACTATAATTTTTGAGAATAGTTTTTTGATTTCTAGTATTAGCGAATTTAAAGTAGTGGAAATTCTAAAAAAAAAACAGAAATAGTAACTTTTAGAGGCTGAAATATAAAAAGAAGTACCCAAATAGTAGCATATCGTAAAAAAAGTAGTAAATATATTATTTATATTTATTAGTATTAGAATTTATTTATTTTGATTATTTTGATTTAAAATAAATTTAGAATATTTATTTTATTCCTGTTTTTTTTAAATAGTAGGTTTTAGTAGATGAGTGCGAAGCCTAGAATCGTTATTTAATAGAATTTCACCGAATCGTCCCAATTCTTTTGTCTACAAAACAATTCTGTCAAAGAAAAATTTAAAAAAATAAAAAATTTTAATTACTTGACAGAGCGGAGAATTGTCATTAAAATCTGAATAAGAAATTCAACATTTAGGAGAGAGAGAGAGAGAGAGAGAGAGTGAGGGATATGTAGGAAGGACGCATTTTCGTCGCGTACAGCATCCGCATATGGTACATTTCCACTTTCAACGGGTATAACTTCCGTGCCAATTAATTAGTTTAAACCGTATTACACCAGAAATTGGGCATCTCGCACCGTCATTCGTAAATTAATAATAACGGTGAACCCGTCATACAGAAAAGACGGCGCAATACCGTGCACCGGATGCACCCATCACGAGTTAACATCGTCGTAACATAGAAGCCATTTCGTGCCTGCACATTTAGCACGCGAAATTAAATTTTTCATAACGCCTACACTGTTATCCCGCTCGCGCGCTCTCACTAGCTATACCGATGATGATTATTACTCAAACGGAAAAATATTCTTTTTTTTTGTTTTTTTTTCAAATTTTCCTAAATACACTTTCATTATTAGATCAATTAAAATTTCAACATTCAATTCCATGGTGCATTTTTGAATCTCAAATTTCTATAATTATAAACCGACATATGCAATCAACGAAAAATATTTTAATAATGAATTCTTCCATAAAATTAAATTTTCAATATTTTACTTATTTTCAAATTTATGTTATTATTAAATTAATTTAAATAAAATTCATGCTTCATATTTAATTATTTATGTCATTAAAATGTTTCCATATACTTTATCCATATATGTTAATATTCGTTATTTCATATTTATTTATTTTTATCTCAAAATTTATTAAATGTTTAAATATTTCAATATATTTATAACACGTATATATATAATTATATATTAAAATATTTATCTAATATTTTTTTTAATTGTAATAATACTCAAATATTCAAATACTTAAAAATTATTATAAATTGAATATTAACTTAATTATTTATTTTTACCAACCTTTGGCGCGCTTGTCCTGGCGAATTCATCCAAACAGCAGTTATTCACGATCTGCAAAGAAAAAAGAAAAAAAAAAATTAGAAATAGAACGAATGAAAAATTAGAAATAGATTTTTATGGTATTTTTTTATGATGGACATTCTTCTGACTCGAAATAATGGAAATTTTTGTATTAATTACTTCGTCAACCTTTTGACAGAGACCGCATGTCAAGATGAAAATGTCAGAAGCATCAATGATTATCCACTTTGGCTATAAAATAGATGGTATGTACCTTATGGTACACCACAACATGCCACATGGTAATTAACACCATTTTACTAACCATAAAACATGAAATGCCACTCTGCACTTTCAATGTCGTGTAAACCTATAGTGGTCACATGCTTCTATATAAAATATGTGAATCTATATATATATAACTATATACATTGTGAATAAAATAAAAAATAAAATTCCTATACAATGAAGAAAATTTTCCATATTATTGAAAGTTTTCGAGTAGTAAAAGTCAATGCGCTGTCAGACAAACATGAGCTTTCGGAAGATGAATTTAAAAAAGAACGGATACTATTGATGATGACAAGTAAATAATTCATGGATTTCAAGAATTGTATTATTTTTTTATTTTTTTTTTATCTATTTTTACTTATTACTTACTTTTTATTTATTTCATTATTTATTTATTTTCTATTTATTTATTTTATTACTTATCTATTTTCTATTTATTTATTTTCTACTTATTTATTTTCTATTTATTTACTTTATTATTTATTTATTTATATTCTACTTATTTATTTTCTATTTATTTATTTTATTATTTATTTATTTTTTATGCAATAAGCGTAAAGTATTTAATTATAAATTCTTGTATAAAATTGAATTTTCAATATTTCACTTCTTTTCAGATATATTATTATTATTAGGTTAAATTTATTTAAATAAAATTCATGCTTCATATTTAATTATTTATTCAATTAAAGTAATTTCCATATTTTAATCAAATATTTTAATATTTTTAATTTTAATATTTATTCATTTGTTTATATATATTATTATTTATTATTTTTTTGTTTTTATTTATTATTTCATTATTCTTTATTTAATTATTTTTATTTCAATCTTAATTTTTATTTAATTATTATTTTATGTTTATTTATTCATTTACTGTTCTTTTTACAGTTATTCAAACCTATTTATCATTTTGATTGTTTTTGTTTATTTATTTATTGCTTTATTTATTTATTATATTATGCATGCAGGTTTTTGAAAAAATAAATTCACATTAATTATTGAATTACAGAAGGTTAAAAAATATTAAACTATTTACCATTTTGTGATATATTAATTTTGCTCTTTATTCAATGTATTTGCTACGAAAATTAAATAAATTTAATTATTTAGTTATATTGTTATTCTATTATTAATGTAATTATTTACCAAATATGAGAACAACTGAATGTAATGCAATGTAATGCAATTCCTAAGGGTCACTGATACTTATATACCCTTCGATTTCCATCTCATTTGCGAGAGAGTTTTCACGCCGTCTAGGCGGAATTTCATGGAAACTTTAGGCGCGAAATTCAAATTCAAAAAAGGAAAATTCTTATAATAAAAAGAATTCACCTAGAATTATTTGCAGAAAAGACTGAAATTAACATCAGGAGGTAAAATGGAACAAAAATAAATTCAAATATATTTAAATATATTCAAATAATTTAAAATAATTACAATACTTCAAATAATTAGCAACAATAATTAAAATTAAATTTTTTTTTTTAAATTTCTGTATAATTTTAATTCTTTCTCGTAGCAGGCAGCTTTTTATTCTATTAAAAAAAAGGGGAGAAATCTATTAATAGAATTCTTTTTATTTTTTCTATCCCAAAAAAAAAAAAAAATCAATACCAAAATTGTTAACTTTTGTATATGTGTGCTTTCATTTTTCAGCCACAGCCGTACAGTTTTCAATATGAGGTACGTGATCCACCGAGTGGCAACGACTATGGCCAACAAGAGAGCAGCGATGGAAATGTCGTTCGAGGCGAATACCGAGTTTTGCTGCCCGATTCGAGAACTCAAATCGTAAAATATACAGCTTCCGATGTGAATGGTTACAACGCAGATGTTCAATATGAGGGTCAAGCCCAGTTCCCGAGAGGTGGTGTTGGTGCTGGTGGTAGTGGCGGTGTTGGTGTTGGTGGAACAACGGGAGGGTCTTTCCCAATTGGTGGTCCCGGGTATCAAGGAGGATTTGGTGGTGGATACCAGGGTGGTTAGTATCGAGTCATTTAGTCGATTTATCTCAAAAACATCCATTCCCTAAATCAGACAATCTCATATTACCCCCCGACTCCCATACTCGAAAGGATTAACCGAACTCTTGTTCTCCACAAATCGATTTCACTGTTCAACGTTCGGTCGTTATTTTCTATTTTGCTTTTTTTCCTCTCGGACTTTTGAAAACAAAAAAAAATACAAAAACAAATTTATGCTACAGAGAATAATTTAAATAATAAAAAATAAAATTATAAATAATATTACATTTTTTTGCCCTACAGGGCAAAAAAATGTAATATTATTTATAATTTTATTTTCCTATTGAATAAATTTAATAATAATGCCGAGTGATAGCTTCAATTATTATTTATTTAATAATAATAATAGTTACAGAAATACAAATAATTTAAAAAATAGAAAAAAAGGCAAATATTGAAAATGTAAATAAAATTAATTTCTAAAAATAGCCTTTATGAAATATTAATTAAAGTATTTATCTAACATAAAAATATTTTTCTCCTGAGATAAAAATAATCGTCCCACATTTTTCTCTTTCGTAATTTTCTAAATTGTAAAAATAATTAATTCTTCTTCTATTTTCTAAATATAAAATAATAACTTGAAGATTTTAATTTTTAATTGACAAAATTACTTTAAAACAAACAAATGAATATTAAATACAAGAAAAAAAAATTTAATATGTAAAACAGATGCCACCTTGAAATTTAATTAAAATATAATTTCTGGAAAAAAATAACATCTTTAAAATAGATAAAAAGCTGAAGACTTTCACTTTCTGATGCAGAAAAAAAACAAAACATTTAAATTGTATAATTATTATCGAATATTGTTGGCAACTTATTTTAATTGTAGTATACATACATTTAATTTTAATTATAGTACACATCATATAATTGAATTTTTTTTTATATTAACAACTACTGATTCTCACAGTGAACTTGATTGCATCAATAATAGGTATTTGAAATGCTAAAGAACTTGTGAAAGATAATTTATTTACTTGAGGCCCTATTATCTTTGGCGTTTAACTTAATTGATTTCTTCATTTAACTCCTGTTAATATTTTGTTTTTTTTTATTGATTTTATCTATTTTATTCATTTTTTTAGTATATTTATTTATTTCTTTATTATATTTATTTATTTCTTTATTATATTTATTTTTTTTATTAAATTTATTTATTTTTTACCATATTTATTTTTTACTATATTTATTTCTTTATTATATTTATTTTTTTGTTTATTTTTTTTATTTATTTTTTTATTCTGTTATTTATTTTCTTATTTCGTTATTTACGTGTTTTATTGTTTTTCTTTTTTAATTATTTGTTCGTTATATTTATTTTTCCCAATATTTGTTGTCATAGCTGTTTTTAATATTGCCTTTATTTCTCTAATGAATATTTTTTATTTTTATTTTTAGATTTTTTAACTCCTGTTGTTTATTCAAGTTTTAAAAAAATGTTTCACTCTTTTTTGTTAAATGAATTATTTGAATATTTCGGTAATTTTTTAAATTGCAAATAAAACGTAATAGCTTATTGCTGAAAAAATGTAATAATTTATTTACAATTTAGAAAAGTAAAGGAGATAAATGTTTGAAATAACAGTAATAAAATTAATGCATATACCGAGTGAGATGGCTCAGTGGCTTCACTACTGTGTTCGTAATAACGATGGTCGGGGTTCGATTCTTCACGACTGGATTTTTTACGTCACAAATTTTCTTTCCTTTCTATTTAGTATAAATATTTATAGTGAAGCATAGTATAGCATAGTATAATAAACTGTAACATAGTATAGAAAAAAAAATCGAAATAATTTCGAAAAGGCTTTCAAAATTTTCTTTTTTGATATTTCTTTTTTTTTGAGTTAAATTTGAATTTTATCGTATTTGGAAGTTATTTAAAGAATGTTAACATTGCAAATGAACGAATACGTCTGGTAAGTTGAGGACACGGCTGCGTGCTTGCATATACAAACAATGATTACTTTTTTCCCCGAGAAAAGTATATATAAAGTCACACCTCTTGGCTGTGATCTTGAAGGCTCCGACGTCGTGCAACACATATCATACATACAAATGAGATTTCATGTTGTTGACAGGGAGGGGTGGATTTGGAGGACCTGCAGGTGGATTTGGGGGCGGAATCTTTGGAGGTGGGCCGAGCAACCAATACTTACCTCCCGACAATGGATATGGAAAATAATAAACAATGAGGCGATAATTTATTTATTTATTTTTGTTTTTCAATTATCAACATGATGTTTTTGAAAACAATTTTTATAGATTCAAATTTTAAATCTATTATTATCTTAATTTTACTATAGACGAATTTATTCTTTTTCTATTTGTCTCCAATTTTCATTCGCTTGTTGAAAAAAAAATTTTCCCCTGATACATACATTTACCTTCACACTTTAATTTAATTGTTTAGGCTAGAAAATGTAATTATACGAAATATACGCTTGTGTTACGTGTCACATATAACGTGAACGTAAAATTTACTTTTATCGTTTATTCTAAGTGTATTTATGTAATCTGTATGTATTTTAGTCCATAAAAAAATAAATGCATTAGTTCTGAAATTGTGTTTTCTCAATTGTAACATTGGCCAACACGTTAAAGTCCTCTATTTGTGAAAAAACGCCGATGGTTCGATTCCCCACTCGGTGTCAAGATTTATTTTCAAAAAGTGGTTTAAAAAAACAAAAATACAGTTGAAAGAAAAATGAAATAAATTTATAAAATCAATTGAAAATTAAAAAAATAAATAAAAATGAATTAGGTAAGTAAATATAAAAGGAAGATGTAATTAAAATAATTTAAAAATCGAATTAAATTTGTTCGATTAGTCAAATTTTGCAATAAATTGTACTTTGTTTTAAATGGATATAAGAAAGAGCAGAACATTGCTTAATATAATACCTAATAATAAGTAATAAACTGAACCATATAAAATGATGACTTTGAAAATATTGTCATGTGAATAATGAGCGTTACAAGAGATGTTATTACTCTGACATCATGCGAAGAATGACCGCAAAATGTTAAGAAAGCAATCATAAAATTACACTTTTACTGTTCGGTCCATATTACAAGAACTTGTTAATCCTCCTGCAACAATTCGTTGCACAAGAAATAAAATCGCGTGTTATAATGTAAATTTTCTCACAAGACCCACGATATTTGTTTACACACATATAATAATCGTTATGTACTGACGATTTTCTCTGATCACTTATTGAGAGAGAAATATGAGTCATCGCATAATTTTCAAAAGTGATAATTACAATAATTAGAAATTTTTCATTTTGTTTAAAATTATTTTGTATTTTTTACCATTATTTTTGTAGTGGGTTTTTTAATATTATTTTTTAGTGTTGTTTTTTAGTGTTATTTTTTAGTATTGTTATTATTACCGAGATTATACTTATAAATAATTATTTTTTTTAGTATTACCTACTATTTTCTAAAGAATTCTTTAATATTAATTTTAGAACAATTTTTAAGTATTATTTTTTAGACAATTTATTAAAATTATTTTTAAAACAATTTTTTAGAATTTTTTTTTATTTTTAAAATAATTTAATTCTTGAAAAAATATCGAAAAATTATTATTTATAATTTATTTTGCAAATAATTTTATTTAAAAATCCAAAAAATAATTGAATTTTATAAAATGTGTATTTTTAATTTCTATAAATAATATAAATCACTAGGAAATGTTACATGCGAAAAGCAAAATTTAATTTATTGTTATGTAAATTAGAAAATTTTCAGTTCAATTCCACTGATTTAAATCATGAGAATACAGTAACTGATTCTCAGTCAAATTTCACTGATTAAGATTTAGAGAGATTTTAATTAAAATTAGTTCAAATTTTAGTTAAAAATTCTAGAAAATAATTAAATTGAAATCTTGAAAATAATTTTGGACAATTTACAGTTGCAATTCTTATAAAATGATTAATTTCAAAGGACTTGAAATATGAATTTTCTTAAAATCTTAATTTCTGTGTAAAAATAATAAAAATGATCAAATATTTATTTTTAAAAAACTTAATTTTCCGAATAATTTCACAATTAAAGATAATTTTTTTAATCATGAACGGGATTACAATTTAAAAATACCTTTACTTATTTATTCAAAAATAAATATATTAAAAATATTTTTTTGTGTATTTAATCATTTTTAGAGTCAAATAAAATATTCATTACGGTCAGGGAAAAAGTCAGAGTTCTGTTTGGAAATCAGGGAAAAGTCAGAGAGAATAATAAAATCAAATTTTTGTAGCAAATCTGAATTAAATAAAATGTTTAGTAAAAAAAATTTTTTTTAGTAAAAGTAAAAATAAATAAACTAAAAAAAATTGAAAAACTAAAAGTAAAAATAAGTACCTATATTTATAAAAATAATTAAATTTTTTCAAAGAATTTTACTATTTGAAAAAATAATCGAATTGTATCGTAAAACTCAAAAATTCGACTGTCTGCTGATTGGCGGATGGAGTTTCCAGATTAGTAATATTGCAAGAATTATTTTACAAAAGTAAAACATTAATAATAAACATCTAATAACCAATATACAACAAAAAAATCAATTGTTTATAAACAATTAAATTTTTTAAAGCTCTTTGTTTTGCAAATCTCGAAAGTTCGATTGTTTGATAATTGGCGGATGGAGTATTTTGACTAGTAATTTTGCCAAAATAATTTAACTAAAGAGAATTCTTAATAATAAACATCTAGTGAACAATATACAACAACAAAATCAATTGTTTTTAAACAATTGAATTTTTTAAAGCTCTTAGCTTTGCAAAACTCGAAAATTCGATTGTCTGCTAATTGGCGGATGGAGTATTTTGACTAGTAATTTTGCCAAAATTATTTTACTAAAGAGAATTCTTAATAATAAACATCTAGTGAACAATATACAACACAAAAAACAATTGTTTATAAACAATTTAATTTTTTAAAGCTCTAAGCATTGCAAAACTCGAAAATTCGATTGTCTGCTAATTGGCGGATGGAGTATTTTGACTAGTAATTTTGCCAAAATTATTTTACTAAAGAGAATTCTTAATAATTAACATCTAGTGAACAATATACAACAGAAAAAATAATTGTTTATAAACAATTTAATTTTTTAAAGCTCTAAGCATTGCAAAACTCGAAAATTCGATTGTCTGCTAATTGGCGGATGGAGTATTTTGACTAGTAATTTTGCCAAAATTATTTTACTAAAGAGAATTCTTAATAATAAACATCTAGTGAACAATATACAACACAAAAAACAATTGTTTATAAACAATTTAATTTTTTAAAGCTCTAAGCATTGCAAAACTCGAAAATTCGATTGTCTGCTAATTGGCGGATGGAGTATTTTGACTAGTAATTTTGCCAAAATTATTTTACTAAAGAGAATTCTTAATAATAAACATCTAGTGAACAATATACAACAGAAAAAACAATTGTTTATAAACAATTTAATTTTTTAAAGCTCTAAGCATTGCAAAACTCGAAAATTCGATTGTCTGCTAATTGGCGGATGGAGTATTTTGACTAGTAATTTTGCCAAAATTATTTTACTAAAGAGAATTCTTAATAATAAACATATAGTGAACAATATACAACAACAAAATCAATTGTTTATAAACAATTGAATTTTTTAAAGCTCTAAGCATTGCAAAACTCGAAAATTCGATTGTCTGCTAATTGGCGGATGGAGTATTTTGACTAGTAATTTTGCCAAAATTATTTTACTAAAGAGAATTCTTAATAATAAGCATCTAGTGAACAATATACAACAACAAAATCAATTGTTTATTAACAATTGAATTTTTTAAAGCTCTTAGCTTTGCAAAACTTGAAAATTCGATTGTCTGCTAATTGGCGGATGGAGTATTTTGACTAGTAATTTTGCTAAATATATTTTACTAAAGAGAATTCTTAATAATAAACATCTAGTGAACAATATACAACAGAAAAAACAATTGTTTATAAACAATTTAATTTTTTAAAGCTCTAAGCATTGCAAAACTCGAAAATTCGATTGTCTGCTAATTGGCGGATGGAGTATTTTGACTAGTAATTTTGCCAAAATTATTTTACTAAAGAGAATTCTTAATAATAAACATCTAGTGAACAATATACAACACAAAAAACAATTGTTTATAAACAATTTAATTTTTTAAAGCTCTTAGCTTTGCAAATCTCGAAAATTCGATTGTCTGCTAATTGGCGGATGGAGTATTTTGACTAGTAATTTTGCCAAAATTATTTTACTAAAGAAAATTCTTAATAATAAACATCTAGTGAACAATATACAACAGAAAAAACAATTGTTTATAAACAATTTAATTTTTTAAAGCTCTAAGCATTGCAAAACTCGAAAATTCGATTGTCTGCTAATTGGCGGATGGAGTATTTTGACTAGTAATTTTGCCAAAATTATTTTACTAAAGAGAATTCTTAATAATAAACATCTAGTGAACAATATACAACAGAAAAAACAATTGTTTATAAACAATTTAATTTTTTAAAGCTCTAAGCATTGCAAAACTCGAAAATTCGATTGTCTGCTAATTGGCGGATGGAGTATTTTGACTAGTAATTTTGCCAAAATTATTTTACTAAAGAGAATTCTTAATAATAAACATCTAGTGAACAATATACAACAACAAAATCAATTATTTATTAACAATTGAATTTTTTAAAGCTCTTAGCTTTGCAAAACTCGAAAATTCGATTGTCTGCTAATTGGCGGATGGAGAATTTTGACTAGTAATTTTGCCAAAATTATTTTACTAAAGAGAATTCTTAATAATAAACATCTAGTGAACAATATACAACAGAAAAAACAATTGTTTATAAACAATTTAATTTTTTAAAGCTCTAAGCATTGCAAAACTCGAAAATTCGATTGTCTGCTAATTGGCGGATGGAGTATTTTGACTAGTAATTTTGCTAAATATATTTTACTAAAGAGAATTCTTAATAATAAACATCTAGTGAACAATATACAACAGAAAAAACAATTGTTTATAAACAATTTAATTTTTTAAATCTCTAAGCATTGCAAAACTCGAAAATTCGATTGTCTGCTAATTGGCGGATGGAGTATTTTGACTAGTAATTTTGCTAAATATATTTTACTAAAGAGAATTCTTAATAATAAACATCTAGTGAACAATATACAACAGAAAAAACAATTGTTTATAAACAATTTAATTTTTTAAAGCTCTAAGCATTGCAAAACTCGAAAATTCGATTGTCTGCTAATTGGCGGATGGAGTATTTTGACTAGTAATTTTGCTAAATATATTTTACTAAAGAGAATTCTTAATAATAAACATCTAGTGAACAATATACAACAGAAAAAACAATTGTTTATAAACAATTTAATTTTTTAAAGCTCTAAGCATTGCAAAACTCGAAAATTCGATTGTCTGCTAATTGGCGGATGGAGTATTTTGACTAGTAATTTTGCCAAAATTATTTTACTAAAGAGAATTCTTAATAATAAA